TGAAGGAGCTGAGCATCCAGATCGACGACGAGCGGCAGCACGTCAGCGACCAGAAGGACCAGGTTGGGTGGCGGACGGGAGCCCTTCGGAGGGGTCCTGAGCTATTTTGGGACCCTCGGGACCTAAATCCCATGGGAATTTTCCAGCTGAGCCTGAAGGTGAAGGCCCTGAAGCGCCAAGTGGATGAGGCGGAGGAGGAGATCGAGCGGCTGGAGGGCGCCCGCAAGAAGGCGCAGCGGGAGCTGGAGGAGCAGCACGAGCTCAACGAGCAGCTGCAGAACCGCATCAAGGCGCTGGAGAAGGATGCTTGGTGGGGGACGCCGGGCTTGGGGTGGGGGGTGGGGTGTCCCAAAGTGGGGTCCCAGCCCTGCTGACCCCAATTCTCCACCCCCAGGCGCAAAGCTGCCCGCTCGGCCACTGATTCCTCGCTGCAGGATGAGCAGCTCAGCTCGGATGAGGAGTTTGACAGCGCCTACGGGCCCTCGTCCATCGCTTCGCTGCTCAACGAGGCCAATCTCCAGACCAGCTCCTGCTGACGCCCGCTCCGGCCTGGAGCAGGGCCACGTCCCCCGGGACTGCATCCCCAGGGTCCACCACATCCCCAGGGACCCAATCCCCAGGGACCATCACATCCCTAGGGACCATGTGCCCGGGGACCTCATCCCCAGGGACCGCATCCCCAGGGACCACCACATCCCCAGGGACCACCACATCCCTAGGGACTGCATCCCCAGGGACCACCGTATCCCTAGGGACCATGTCCCCAGGGACCCCATCCCCAGGGACTGCCTGTGGCCGCTGCTGCTCTTCTGCTACCACGGACATGAAGGAAGGCCCCGCTTCATGGGGAATCGCCCCCCCCCCAGGCGCTGTCTCGCCTCTTCGTCTTCATACGGGTCTCAGGGTGTGTTTGCACCAGGGCTTTTTGCCGAGGGGGAGCCCCTCGCCATGGTCATTGTCCCCCTTCGTGACCGGGTCCCGCTGGGACACACGGCCCTGGGGTCCCAGACATGGCCCCGGGGGGCTCAGGGTCCGTGGAGGGGGCTGGGGTTGCTCAGAGGGGGGCACCTGCAGCTCTGTACCTCCCAGGTTTGTTTTTCTATGCAGCCGCCCTTTGTCCCTCGCTGCCCTTTCCCCTCTCTGAGTGCTGTTTTAAATAAAATGAAGCATTTTAACGCCTGGGACTCGTCATCCGTCCAGGGCCGGAGGGGGAACGCGGGCTGTGGCGCTGCGGGGTACCGGGCTCCTGCCCAACACAGGGAGCGCAGCTCCTTCCCCGCTCCGCTCGATCTGGCCTGGAGATAAATCCTCGTTATCGCTAATTAACAAGGATGGGAGTCTTGCCAACTGCTAATTAGCGCCATTGCGTTGATTGGCAGGTGGTTACCGCAGTTCCCCTCCGTGGCCTCAAGCGGGGCCGAGCTGGCGGAGTCCCCAAGCCAGCACGGGGCTGGGACGGGGGGCGCGTCGGCGCTGGCGGGGCCCCCAAGCCAGCACGGGGCTGGGACGGTGCCCAGGGACCCGGCCAGTCCTGTCCCCGCTGCCTCAGTTTCCCCTCCCACGCCCCGGTGACGTTTAACCGGGATGGAGCCGGCAGTGACACCACCAGGGACACCCCTGTCCCCTCTCCGGCCAGCGCTGGCC